ATTCACAATTACAGACTAAATATGAAGAGACACTTCATACACACCTTGATCTTGCTTCACAGCTTTGATCAAGGAACTCACATACTCTTGCTTCACAGCTTTGAGTGAGACACAACCTAGAATCTACCTATCCAATGCAAATCATCCACCAGACAATTGCTTGGAGTACAAGTATTTCTAGACAGAATTCACATGTGAAGACTAGCCTTCTTCACTTACAAGGACTGCAATATGCACTCTTTCTTCTTCTGTCAAGAGCTGCCATTCAAGATTGCATCTTCTAATATTTATAGCAGTTGTTAGTCCTTTTGGGCCTTGGTGCATAAATTAGGTTTTATTCATAACAAATCTATTTTCAATAATCTGCACGCTTGCCACTTAATTCAGGGATCTTTTAGTTTTCCTAGAGCTTCTAGAAAGTCTCCTGATATCCAGCTTGAGCTCCTATTCTATTTCCTGGTTTTATAGCTACTAGAAAAACAAACTTGCGCAAACTTGCGCTTGATGTCATATGTCCCAAGTCATAACATTGGGTGTGACATCCAGTTTAACTTGCTTTTAGCTAAGTCACCTTACCCCGCACTGTCCACATTATGTATGCACTAACCTCAGTTATGACATACATACATGCTCTAGTGTTTTACCATAAAATGCAGTCAATCAAGAGCACTTACATTTTCGTTTCATTTTTATTTCAATTGTTCCAATCACTTAAAAATTCACAAAAATATGTTTTAATTATTTTAGGATCTTAAGAATTTTATGTTAATTTTTATTTTATTATTCAATTATTTTTCTTGTTTTATTTTGAATTAATAGTGAAGGTTGCTTTTACATGTTTACCCTTGGATTAGGGTTAGTTGTTTGATGATTTTTGGGGCACCTCTTGAGCTAACTTTTCATCATATTTTGACACATGGTTGCTTGATGTTTGAGTGGTTTTGTTATTCCTTAATCATGTTTATTGATAACACTATTTTAGTGTGTCATAGTGATCCACTTTTCTTATGGTTTTAGTTTAAGTTTAATTAGGATTTGTTTAAATTTATTTGTTTTAGTATGTTTTTACCTTAAGCACACTAGGTGCTTCTTTTATGGTTTTTTTTATGTGTTTTTATTTTAAAGAAAATCGGATAAAGGAAAGTTGAGGCATGACACCTCAAGACAAAGTCTGGAGTAGAAAGAAGATTAAGGAAAAGAAGATGTTTATTCTTGTTATCAACAATTCACCAAGCGTTTGGAAATATTTAATCATTAGGGCACACGCTGCAAGCATTTGTGTAAAGAAAGTTTTAGAGCATAAAGATAAGAGCAAAGGAGCTTGAAGACAAAAGGTAGTATAGTGGGGACCACGCCTGCAAAAGCGCATCCTGCACCCAGGCACCTGCCATCTGTTCTGCGTCATTACCTGCACCCAGCCACCCGCCGTCTACTCTGCGCCGTTACATACTACAGTAACCTACCAAAGACATCTTATCCCCTATTGTTGTCTGTACTGGATAACTTGCTGACAAAGGGAAATTGGATAGCTGGATATTTTAGTGATTTGATATGGGCCAAACCTTATTCCTATCAAAGGCCCATGATCTAAGACTCACCAACTTCTACTCTCACACTCAAGTCTATAAAAGTAAGCCTTGCGCATTGAAGAGCTAGAGCGAGAACTGGAGATTTTCACATACTCATGTTTATTTACAGTTTAGACTTTCACTCTCTCTGATATTTTATTCCCTTTTATTTAGTATTTTAAGTTGTTGTGTGAAGCTCTTGCTTCTTATTACCATTAGTATTTTGTTATCTTTTTCATGCTTATTTTAAACAAAGGTTGAATACTTATAGCTCAAAGCTAAATCAATTTCACTCCCTGTGATTACGATCTCTTTACTTTATCACTTGCTACAATCAAACATACATGTATACTTGCATGTGACACCTTTGCTTTAACTCAATATAAAAAGTAAACACGTAAGAAAGCAACAAGTTTTTGTTTAAAAATTGTATTTAATCCTTTAACATTTTTTTTGCTGTAATTTGGTGTCACGACAGTCTTAAGCTATTGCATGCGCAGGTCGTTACAACCAGTTTACAGTGGTTATCCTGAACTTGAAAGAATTCTAAGAGCACGAAGGATATTTTTGCATTCTCAACAACTATTTGAATATCCTTCAACATTAGTTGTGGCTGAACCAGAGGTTGAAGTGCACGTGGGAGATACAGACAAATAAGCTTTGTCATCATCATCAGACGAGTCACAACATGAAGTTATCATGGCTGAGCAAGACATCATTGGCATTGCCAATGACAGGGTGCACAACATTAGGGACTATGTTGTCTTTGATCTTATGACCATGAACACTAATATTGTTAGACCAGAGATCACTGCACCACAGTTTGAATTCAAACATACGATGTTCCAAATATTGCAAACCACTGGTCAATACTCAGGCTCTCCTCATGAAGATCCTCACTTGCACTTGAGATAATTTCTAGATGTTGCTGATAATTTTGAGATTCCTGGTATGACTGATGATGCCTTTAGGTTAAGACTATTTTCGTATTATCTAAGGGATAGAGCCAAGAGATGGGTAAATTCCTTGGAACCATATTCCATTTCTACATGGAACACTTTGGAAGAAAAATTTATGGCCAAATACTTTCCTCCTTCGAAGAACGCAAAGATGAGAAACAAGATCACTTCATTTAGGTAAGGAGATGATGAATCGTTGTTTGATGCATGGAAAAGATTTAAGGAGCTACTAAGACAATGTCCTCATCATGGGATTACCATCTGCATTTAACTTGAGACTTTCTATAATAGATTAATTCCATCCCCAAGGAACATGTTAGATGCATCTAGTAGTGGAGCTCTTTTGTCTAAATCCTGTGAAGAAGGCTACAAGCTGATTGAGATTATTACGACCAACACTTTTCAATAGCCTGTCACTAGGGCTACTGTAAACTCAACTCACAAGAAACCTGCTAGAGTTCATGAAGTCACTGAGACAACAACTATTGATGCTCAGGTGGTTCAAATCCACCAGATGATGAAAAATATGATGACCTCTCAAGTGACAAAGCCTGAACCAGTTAAGGTGGTTATTGACACGACTGAAGTTACCTGTGTCTACTGTGGAGGACCTCGTCTATTTGAAGAATGTTCTTTAAATCCTATTTCAGTCAACTATGTTGGCAACAACAACAACAACAGATACAACAATCCTTACAGCAACACATACAATCCAGGGTGGCACAACCATCCTAATTTTCCTTGGAGTAATAATCAAAATCAACCGAAGCCTCAAGCAACACCAACACCACAAGTTTTTCCTAGTTTTTCTACTCCTAGTTATGCTGGGGGAAATCAAGGAAACAATCCGTTGGAGAATGTTTTGAAGTCATTTATTCAAGAAATCAAAAATCAATTTCAAGTACAAGGAGTAAGTATCAAAAACTTGGAAAATCAAGTAGGACAAATAGCCACTGCCTTGAGCTCAAGGAACATGGGGACTCTCCCAAGTTCTACTGAAACTCCAACTGCACTCTTTGGAGTAAAGAATGTTGAGACATGTCAAGTTATCAAGCTCGGGAGTGGAAAAGAAGTTGAAGAGTTTGTTTTAAAGAACAAGGAGGCAAGTACAGAACTGCCTAAACTAGACAGTTCTGGAACAAGAAAACAAACTGATGAAGAACCATCTTCATCTAGGCACCAGAAGTAAAATGAAGGTGTCACTAATGCAGACTTGAATTTATAGTTTAAGTGAATTATTTGTTTATCTCTCTAGTTATATTTGTTTATGAAATTGTTTATTTATTTTTTAAATAAAAATAGTAATTTATTGTGTTTTAAATGATGTAACATATCATATAATAATATAAAATCATTTAGATTGATTACTTACTTAAATATCATAAATTAAATTACAAAAATAGATATTTTCTGAAATCGAAACTAAATTTAAAGAGATTTTCTTGCAATTTGTTTCATTTCATATTAATAAATTCACATCATTATTAATTCGAACAATGGTACACGTTTCTCCACTTGACATTAAAATTACAAACATTAAAAATCAAAACATGACACCATCACAACTTCATTCTAAAACTAAAAACCAGTCCAAAACATAATTAAAACAGGGTGACGATTTTATTAAAGTTTTGACATTTAATCAAAAATCACGACAGGACAAACAATAAAGACAGGACCATCCTAAGACACTACTATTATTATCATCATCCCTCACTTTTTTCTATCCAATCATTATCGTTTGCCAATTCAATTTTTTCATACTAGTACCATCCATTTGTGAACATGTCTCACCTGCATTTTACACCTAACTGCAACCTATTTTGCTTCAAAATACTTTTCATCATCATACATTATTGTAAAAGTAAATAATAATATAATAATCATAAAAAATTACAACAAAAAAAGTGACATACTTTTTAAATATTATTATAAGTAAATTTATTAATTAATGAATATATTTTAAATTATTTAACAAATTTATAAAAAATATTTTTATTTATAATAATGACTAATATTATGAATTTGGAAAAGTCAAAGCAAATAATAAATATTTTTATTCATAAAGTCTTTAATACTTATCCTAAACTTTAATACTAATTTAAAATAATCAGCATTTATTTAAAAAGAAAAAACAATCATATTAAAAACTAAAAAACAATAAAAATTATTTAACTTTTAAATGTTTGAGAAAAAAAACAAATCCTTGTATATCTCTGCCTCAATTTTAGTTTGCCTGATAAATTAATTATCTCATCAATAAAACAGAGACACAATCATTACCCAAAGAAACTGGAAATTTTCTGTTTCATCAAAACTAAAATTTAAGTTTATTGGCATGTAAGATAGGTGAGCTTCATTTAAGTTCCTTGGGATTAAGGTTGGAGGTAATCATAGATTCATATTCTATTGAAAACCTGTGGTGGATTGTATGAAGTATAAGCTCTCTATTTGGAAGGGCAGGTTGATGTCAATGGGAGGGATGACTAATCTAATCAATTATGTCCTGTCAAACCTACCTATTCACTACCTTTCTTTATTCAAAGCCCTTAGTAAAGTGATTCATAAGCTAGTATTAATACAGATGAAGTTTCTTTGGGCAGACTCCAAGGATAAAAAAGGTATCTCATGGGTCAGTTGGAGTAAGGTGTGTAGACCCAAGGTGGAGGGAGGATTAGGGAATAAAAATTTAGGAAGGTTCAATAATGCTCAGTTGCCAAAATGGATTTGGAGGTTTGTTACTGAGAAGGGCAAGTTGTGGGAAGGGATTTTGGTGAGTAGATATGGTAATCTAGCATCCACTTTGTGGAATGGAGAACTATCTATCTGAGAGATACTCCATCTCTTTGGTGGAGGGACTTATTCAAGGTGCTGCATTGTTTTGGTGGTTCCTCTTTCCTAAACTTATTATCTGTCAAGACTGGTAATGGTGGCAAAGCTTTGCTCTAGTTACCTTGATGGTTAGAGAACTTTTCACTAGCTTCCTTATTTCCTGAAATCTGGAGCAGGGTGGACAACAAACTAGTATATGTGGCAGAAATGGGCTCTTGGGTGGGGGGACTCTTGGACTTGGCAGCTTGGATCTAGTTTCAATTTTGTAGACAGTGTCCCACATCAGGAGTTGTCAGAATTAAAGGAGCTTTTGCAGGAGGTATATGTTTGCAGGGAGGTTGAAGATGAAGTAATTTGGCCATTTTGCAGCTCCAAATCCCTCATTATGAAGTCCTGCTATGAGTGGTTATCAACATAATTGGTGGAAGATAGGGGTGGAGTATGAGGTCAAGATGACTCTAAATTGGGTGTGGAAAGCTTATTCTTTTATGAAAACAAGGTGTTTTACTTGGAGATTAGTTCTGGACAGACTTCAAACTAAAGATAATTTAAGAGCTAGAGGTGTGTTACTTAATGTGCATGATTATGTGTGTCCATTTTGTTTTGTGCAGGAGGAAAGTTCGTGCCATTTGTTTCTTAATTATGTCAAAAACAGTCAGATGGAAAACTTGTGGGGGATTGGCTTTTGGTTGAGTTGGGTGATCATGTATATTGTGTAGAGCATTTGAAGGGCTGGATGGATTGCTTGTGTAAAAAAGGTACTGCTAAACACAATGCAACAGGATTATGGTCTACTATATGTTGGTGCATTTGCTATACTAGAAATCAAATTATGTTTAAAGATGATGTTTAGGATCTTAAATTGGTTATGCAGAGAATTGTTTTCCTTTCTTAGTGGTGGATTGACAAGAAAGACATACCTCTATCTAGGTGCAACTATTATGATTGGTTCAACTTTCTTTTTAACTATTTATAAAGTTTCAAATTGTATCAAGATTGTATCTTGATTTGTATCGGTGAGGTGGACTTTGTAAATTGGTTATGGTACCCCTAGTACCATTGTGCTTATTAAAAAAAAAACTTTAGATTTAGGGTCAGTATGTTTTACCTTAAAAAAATAGATTTATTTATTTATTTTTAAAAATAAATTCTACAAAATATTTTTTAAAATATTATAAATTTTTTAAAATTTATTTTTTATAAATTAAAAGATTAATTTTAAATTTTTATAACATAAACATAAATTATTAAAGATCAAAATATAGTTAAAATTCAAAAAGTTTTATCTCAAAAATAATTTTTATGAAATCATTTGAAATAACTTCAAAATTAAGTAATTTTTAAAAAATTTAATATTTATATTTTTTTTAATAAAATAATAAAATAACTAAATTAATATTTTAAGAATAACTATTCAAACCAAATTTTCATTTGAATGTTTTATGAAAAATTTCGTTATAAATTTTTTACACCAAAATATGTAATATCATAAAAATTATTTTAAAAAGAAGTCAAAACAGACTGATGAAGATTAAAATATAATTTAAGTGAATTAATTGTTTTATTGTTTACCTCTCTAGTTGTATTTGTTTATGAAATTGTTTATTTATTTTTTAAATAAAAATAGTAATGTATAATGTTTTAAATGATGTAACATATCATATAATGTAAACTCATTGAGATTGATTACTTACTTAAAATCATCAATTAAATTACAAAAATAGATATTTTCTGAAGTCGAAACTAAATCTAAAGAGATTTTCTTGCAATTTGTTTCATTTCATATTAATAAATTCACATCATTATTAATTCGAACAATGGTACACGTTTCTCCACTTGACATTAAAATTACAAACACGTAATTAAAAATCAAAACATGACACCATCACAACAACTAAAAACCAGTCCAAAACATAATTAAAACAGGGTGACGATTTTATTAAAGTTTTGACATTTAATCAAAAATCACGACAGGACAAACAATAAAGACAGGACCATCCTAAGACACTACTATTATTATCATCATCCCTCACTTTTTTCTATCCAATCATTATCGTTTGCCAATTCAATTTTTTCATACTAGTACCATCCATTTGTGAACATGTCTCACCTGCATTTTACACCTAACTGCAACCTATTTTGCTTCAAAATACTTTTCATCATTATACATTATAGTAAAAGTAAATAATTAATATAATAATCATAATAAATTACAACAAAAAAAGTGACATACTTTTTAATATTATTATAAGTAAATTTATTAATTAATGGATATATTTTAAATTATTTAACAAATTTATAAAAATATTTTTTGAATTTGGAAAAGTCAAAGCAAATAATAAATATTTTATCCGTAAAGTCTTTAATACTTATCCTAAACTTTAATAGTAATTTAAAATAGTCCGCATTTACTTAAAAAGAAAAAAAAAATCATATCAAAAAATAAAAAACAATAAAGATAATTTAATTTTTAAATGTTTGAGAACAAAAAAAAAAAACAAATCCTTATATATCTCTGCCTCAATTTCAGTTTGTCTGATAAATTAACTATCTCATCAATAGAACAGAGACACAATCATTACCCAAAGAAACTGGAAATTTTCTGTTTCATCAAAACCAGAATTTTTCATTTTTTTTAAATTTTCCAATGCAGAGATCAGGTTACGGTTCGGATGGAATTTACCGCTCTCTAAGACCTTCCCTTACCTTACCAAAAAACCCGAACCTGTCTCTCGTTACACATCTTTTCAACAACGTCGCTTCTTCCCTATCAAAAACCGCTCTAATAGATGCTGATTCTAATCAATCACTTACCTTCGCTCAATTAAAATCGCTAACTATTAAACTCTCACACGCTCTAATCCACATCGGTGTAAAAAAATCCGATGTCGTTCTCTTCCTCGCTCCAAATAGTTTCCTCTACCCCGTTTTCTTCCTCGCCGTAACTTCCATCGGCGCAATCGCTTCCACTGTCAATCCGGCTTACACCACCGGCGAAGTCACCAAACAAGCTAAAGATTCAAATCCTAAATTCATCATCACCGTCGCTGAGCTATGGGAGAAAGTAAAACACCTCCACCTCCCTGCCGTTTTTCTCGATGCCGGGACTATCATGACGCCGATATCGAACGTCACGAGTTTCGAATCGTTCGTCAAACTTGGAGAATCCGGAACAGAGTTTCCGAAAGTTGACGTGAAACAAAGCGATACCGCAGCGCTTTTGTATTCCTCTGGAACAACTGGTTTAAGCAAAGGCGTGATTCTGACTCACGCGAATTTCATTGCTGCTGCGATGATGATAACAATGGATGATGAACTGAATGGGGAAATAAACGATGTGTATCTCGTTGTTCTTCCGATGTTTCATGTTTTCGGACTTGCGGTGATTACTTACTCGCAGCTTCAGAGAGGTAATGCGGTGGTTTCGTTGAAGAGATTTGAGTTTGGAGTTGTTTTGAAAACGATTGAGAAGTTTAGGGTTACGAAGTTATGGGTTGTGCCTCCTATTATACTTGCTCTTGCTAAGCATAGTTTGGTTGATAAGTATGATCTTTCTTGTTTGAAGTATGTTGGTTCTGGTGCCGCTCCTCTTGGGAAAGAGTTGATGCAAGAGTGCGCGAAGCGATTCCCTAGGGCGATTATTTCTCAGGTCCATTTATGTTTGATATTTTGATTATGAGTAAGTGGTTTGAACATTAAATAAGCTGATTATAAGTGACTTTTTTTTTGTTTTTGTGGTTTCAGGGCTATGGTATGACTGAAACTACTGGGATTGTTTCTGTGGAAAATACGAGGATGGGGATTAGGCACACTGGTTCAACTGGAATGCTTGTTGCTGGAGTGGAAGCTCAAATTGTCAGTGTGGATACATTGAAGCCACTCCCTCCTGGACAGCTTGGGGAGATATGGGTACGGGGTCCGAATATGATGCGAGGTATGCAGCAATGTAGCCTTTAGGCATAAAACTCCCACCTTATCGATAAAAAATGGTTATTTTGTTTTGTTTAGCGCATTGCGAACCAGGAAATGATAACTGAATTGCCTTAGGCTATAGACAGGTCGAGCTGCGGATTGTTGCCTAATAACATACTAGTAAGAGGTCTAGTGATTGCAGAGGTTCTGACCCGCGACATCTCACTAATTCATCTTTAAGAGATGACATTCTAGCTATTAGGCTACCAAACCGAAAATAAATATATAAGAGGTCTAATGAAATGTTATGAATTGTATTAGCAAATTAAGCATCAGATATTTGAGCAATGCTTCTGCTTACAGCTTTGCCTTTTCTTTTTGATGTGCTAAGATGCCAGTAGTGATTATACCACCTTGTTTCCATTCCATGTTTTTGCCTTCAAAATGTAGTGTAATGCAGCTGCTGATACATGTTCTAATCAGCCCCTGATGTACTCATTGATTGAATGATTCATTTTCGTAAGTACTTGTTTCATTGGCTTATAGAATAACAATTGTCACGAATTTAAGTGCTGTCTTTTAGGAGACTTGTTTTGTATTTAAAAGTAATTTCTTCTAAACACCGCATAGCAAACACCATGGTTACTGGAAGGAGATTTCTTCTGTAATGTAAGGAAATGCATCCCAATGCAAATTTATATTGAAACTATTGCTTAATTTTTCAGGTTATCATAACAATCCACAGGCCACAAGATTGACTATAGATCAAAAAGGGTGGGTTCATACAGGAGATCTTGGATATTTTGACGAAGATGGCCATCTTTTTGTCGTTGACCGCATCAAAGAACTGATCAAGTATAAAGGTTTCCAGGTATGTAATTCAATGTCATAACCTTTTGTTTATAACCTTCTGTTATACTTGATGAAGAATATTTTATCTGCGCGTATCATCCGTATGAATTGTTTGCTATATTCTTCATCCTTCTATCTTAGGTCGCACCAGCAGAACTTGAAGGGCTTCTTATTTCTCATCCTGAAATACTTGACGCTGTTGTCATTCCGTAAGTTTCACAAATGTCATTTTTA